CTGTCAGTAGGAAAATAGTTCCTTATAAGGCCTTTAAGGAAAAAACTAAATAAATCACAGGTTCTTGATCAGTTAAAAAACAACAACTATAAAGTTGAATTATAGTTCACACAATTTGAGAATGTATGGGTATTATAAAATAATTAATGATGAGTTAAAGAGCAGCTTAATAGGTCAGAACGACTTTAGTAAGACTAGATAATGTAACAGGTTACCAAGGGGATAATCAGTATCTCACAGTCATCGTGAGATTATATGTTTATGTGTGTGTGTGTGTGTGTGTGTGTGGCGGGGGGGGCTAAAATTTGTCTAATGGAAAGAGAAATGTGCCACATACTCAGTTGAAAGAGATGACAGCTAATGTGTGCCTGATTGATTGGATATAAATTTAAAACAGGAAGTGTCACAGGGTTGAGAAAACAATCTATAAATGTGGGAACAGACTTGACACATGTCAGAATTGTACAGAGGGCCCCTGGATGTCAGGTAATATATGAATATTTATACAATTCTCTCTTGTTCACACATTTTGAAGCATGCAAAAATAAAGATGTTGTTTAATTCTGACATAAACATGTGTTGCTTCCGAGCAACACCCCTGGCAAGGGAAGAGGAGATAAGAGACATTTGTTTCCCCTTACAAGACCAAACAGCATGTTTGGTGCTTCTGAAGAGGATTTGTCTCTAACGTGGAATTCAATATGCTTTATGAGAGCTCTGTGTAATATCTTTGTATCTTATCAGTTTATATGTGCAAAATAGTTTGGATTTTAAAACCTCCGAGAATAAAACAATGAACAGGTCTTTCAGGGTCATTTTGGACCTTTTATGACCTTTGTTTAGTCAGAAAGTTTGGTTCAGTCAACACTTCTCAGTAAACAGACAACAATTTTTCAATATCTCTAACAAGTTTATACATAAAAACATATGACACATGAAAATGTTTCACTCCTGTAAAGGGGAATCGTGAAAACAGGCACAGACACAGTGTTACTTCGATCACTTCCAGTGTTGTAAAGGACGAACAGAAGCGACTTCTCCTGTGTTAACTCAGACATAACCCATTGAGACACGATCTGTAAATAAACTCTCAAAACATAAACTTTGAACAGGCACCACTCTCTAAAGACTAAATATACAATTGTAGTCAGAAAAGTAACATTAAAGAAAATGTATTTTCATTTTACTGCATCACTCTGTGGTTTTTAACCAGCAAGACCAGAATAATCAATCATAGATCACTAGATCAACAGGCACAGCACATCTTCATCCATCCATTATCTTTTACCCGCTTCTTCCTTTTTGGGTCACGGGGGTCACTGGTGCCCATGTCCAGCTATCACTGTGCGAGAGGCAGGGGACACCTTGGACAGGTCTCCAGTCCATCACAGGGACACATAGAGACAAACAACCATTCACTCTCTCACTCACACCTAGGGACAATTTAGAGTTACCAATCAGCCTAACATGTATGTTTTTGGTCTATGAGAGGAAACCAATCTGGAGAAAACCCGCACAGCACGGAGAGAACATGCAAACTCCACCCAGAAAGGCCCCCAGACTGGGATTTGAACCAGGTTAACCTGCTCACTGAGCGACAGTAGCTCTGCCAACTGCACCACCGTGCTGCCCACAGTGCATCTTATTCCCTTGAACTTTACTTCCACTGAAACAGTTTCATAACCACTACATTCACACAGACAACAAGCATGGAATTTCTTCTGTACGTCCCAGAATTCTTCATGTTTTTTTACTCTGTACCGATCTAAGCAATGAAAAAGTATCGCTCAGATTTATTTAGAAAATATTGATTTAAATGTTTTCCTGGAATATGGAATGTAAATACAAAATTTAGCTTTTTTTTTCCTCTCTTTATTTTAACCTTCCTACTATGTTAGGGTCCGTAGTGACCCATTTTAAATTTTAAATCATGATACTGTCTTTTAAATATTTTTTTTTGCATCAAGGCTTTTTGACTTTGTCTGGAACCTTTATTTAAATAAAAAAAATTATTATTTTTTTCACTAAATTTATTTTTTATTTTTTATAGAACAACACGCACTTGCCGCGCTGGGGTCATTTGTGACCCAGTTATGGTATAAGACTATCAACCAATAATCAGTGTCAAAACTGAAATCATAAACACACTGTGACCTCACTAACTTTGTCATACATATGTTAGGGCCTTCTGTTTTTACCTGTTTGTCTACTTCACTGACCAAAACATCCCCATTTATCCGTACTACTTTTATTGATAAGTCCCTCATACTCTGCTCCCAAAAACTGAAAAAGTTCATCCAGCTGTAGATGCAGAGACATGTTGAGGCATGCCCATGTAGAGATAAGCCTACCTGGATAGCCCTGCCCATCTTGATAGGCAGACCTAGGTAGACACACCCACCTGGGTGTGTCTCTACATGGGCATGTAGAGACATGTAGAAACAGACACTCCATTTTACCTAGAGCTTGGCTGCATACCAAAATGAAAAGAAGATTCACAGTACAAGAAGCTCTAGATCACATCCTTGCTGAAAATGATGCAGAGGACACACCTAGTGACACAGATGAGCCAGTTTCTGAGGAGGACGATGCTATTGAATATGAATCAGAGTACACAGACTCGTCGGATGAGGAGGGCACAGGTGCTGAAGCTGCTCCTGTAACTGAAACCTATAAATCCAAAAAGGGTAACATCACTTGGAGTGCGATTCCTCCTGTTTCACATGGCAGGGAAGCTGCTGAAAATGTTATGAAGATGACCCCTGGGATTACAAGGTTTGCTGTGACACGAGTAAGTGACATCAAGACATGCTTTGATTTGTTTATGCCATTGTCACTAAAGAAAGTCATCATTGCTATGACAAACCTCGAAGGGAAAAAAGTTCACGGTGACACTTGGAAAGACATTGATGAGGAGTGCCTGGATGCTTTTATTGGTGTTCTTCTTCTCGCTGGCGTGTACAGATCCAGCAATGAGGCCCTTACTAGTCTCTGGGATGTGTCCACAGGCAGGAGTATTTTCCGCGCAACAATGTCACTTCAGACCTTTCAAATGATCTCAAGAGTCCTCAGATTTGACAACAGAGATACTAGAGCACGGTCTGACAAGCTTGCTCCCATCAAAGACGTCTGGGATAGATGGGTGAAGCTCCTTCCACTGATGTTCAACCCAGGACCAGAGGTGACAGTGGATGAGCATCTTCTCCCTTTCCGTGGAAAATGCCCCTTCCGGCAATACATGCCCAGTAAGCCAGGCAAATATGGCATAAAAATCTGGGCAGCCTGTGATGCAAAAACCAGCTATGCCTGGAATCTACAGATTTACACAGGCAAACTTGCAGCTGGCATCCCTGAGAAGAATCAAGGAAAACGGGTAATCCTTGATATGACTACTGGACTGCGGGGTCACAATATCACGTGTGACAATTTCTTCACCAGCTTTGATCTTGGACAAGAACTTCTCAAGAGGAAACTTACCATGGTGGGCACAATAAGAAAAAACAAACCTGAGCTGCCCCTTGAAATTTTGCCGGTGAAAGACAGGGCTCCACTGTCTTCAAAATTTGCTTTTACAGAAACCACCAGTGTTGTTTCATACTGTCCCAAAAAGAACCGGAGTGTGGTACTTATGTCCACTCTTCACAAAGATGCAGCTGTGTCAACAAGAAGTGACAAAAAGCCTGAAATCATCCTGGACTACAATAAAAACAAATGAGGAGTGGACACCCTGGACAAGCTGACTGCCACCTACACTTGCCAGCAAATGACCAGGAGATGGCCAATGGTTGTATTTTACAACATCCTAGATGTGTCTGCATACAATGCATTTGTCTTGTGGACCCAGATTGACTTGGGGTGGAACGCCAAAAAAAACCACAAGCGGAGATTGTTCCTTCAGGGATGTTCCTTTAGAGATGTGTTCTAATACTTCTTAAAAAAACACTGTTTTGAGGGCATTTTTTGGCTGATTTAAGACGGGTCACAACTGACCCGTTCACATCATAAGTGCGTGTGGGATCTCGCCCCGCTAGGAAGGTTAACCTAAATTAAAAAGTTTCAGCTGCTTTCTTCTCTTCTTCAGTGCGGTGATTATTTTTACGTCAAATCTCCTTCCTGACTCAACCACAGACCACCGAGCTACCACAGAACTCTGTGTGGAGCAGAGAGCTGCTATCTAGGGCACCCAGCGGAGCAGATGGTGGGGGTTAAGAGCCTTGCTCAAGGGTCCAAAGTGGAGCAAATTAGGGTGGAGGCAGGTGTGAGTGTTTCACCTTTTCCACCCACTTTTTTGTTCCACCTCATGTACCACATGTGAAGCGAATGACAATAAAGACGTTTGAGTTTGATGTTGTCGGTCCGGGGAGTCGAACCAGCGACCTTCCGATCACAGGCCCACCTTCTCAAACCTCTGCACCACCACTCTCCCAAAAGTTCTAACTATGAATAAACTGCTGAAACAAGTCAGTATCTGTCATATCATATTGTCTGAGTTGGAGTTATTTTTGTTTTCCCTGAGGTCCGTTAGCTGTGGCAGCCATCTTGAATTGGATGGACTCCAGTTAAAGATGTACCACACAACGATTGGTTTTAGAAAGTTCCTTAGAGTAAACAGCTTTTAATGTGTTTAATGATTCATGAAATGTTTTACTAATGGCACACATGGGTACAAACATCTTTGCCCCCTCGCCTTCACGGGGTGTGAGTCTTGAAGGGAGTGGAGCTGCAATGTGCCCGTTTCGTTCACAGGGTGCAGGTTTTAACACCAGGGGCTTTTCTCGTGCACTGATCACAACTTCCCCCCAAACTCAAACAATAGCTCGACAGAGAACAATGGTGGTCAAGGTTCAGGCAGGAGGAAGTCCTGGTCCCGGGTCACCTCCAGGTCTGCGTGTCCCCTAAGCAACGGCCTGATTAATGCAAACACAGCGTTACCATGGAGGCCGAGACACAAATCACTCCCTGCACTCAGCGGGACTGACCTGGGACAGCACCCTGAGGACATGGACGAGCCACCTGCTGCCCAGGACCTAAGACTGGACTTCATTGCAGACCTGGTGTTGAGAACTCTGAAACTGAAGGAAGACAGATGGCAGAAATGTGTGTCCAACGAGGACAACGTGCAGGTGTTGCAGGACTTCTTGGACCAATCGGACCGGAGGACTCTGGTGGTGTGTACAAACTCAGCTGGATTACCGGAGCCTGCAGCCTCCATCTCTGCCGGCTCCAAACACAAGACGGTGTACTTTGTTAAAAAAGACAGAGCTCGGCTGAGTCCAGAGTCCCTGAAGGACAGCCTGGTGTGCGGAGACGTGTCTCACGCTCCACTGGACCAGGTCTCTACGTTCGTTCAGGAGGTAGGCAGCGTTAATGATTACATGAGCAGATGTCTCTGTGAAGATATGTTCGACTCCACATGAAGTGAAATGAAAACATATTTACTCTGATTTATTCTACAGGAGTACGGAAAAAAAATTAACTAAAACAAGATTTAATCAAAACAGAGACTCCTGAATGAATCAAGGATAGAAAAATAAAAGCTGCTCCATGTGACCCTAAAAAAGATCAAATACAGACAGGATGTATTCCTGCTGGGCCAGATTTAGCTGAACAAGCATTTTAAAAACAAATACTTACACACCACATGAATATAAATAACAATTAAAAAAAATCTTATTATCACCAGCCAGCAAAAGATTTAATAAAACTGCTATAAAATAAACCCTAGATGGACGATATATTCCGGAGTCTCTGATCTTGGGGTGGGGGGTGTATGTGAAGACAAATAAATGTGTTCCTATAAACAGTTTCAATGGTTTTACAACATAAATGATTTAGAAGATGTGCAGCTTTAATCACACACAAGTTTCAATAATTTTGAATGAATTCAGATCGAATCTGACAATCAAAAATTTTTTACCTTCATTCTGTCCAATTTGTTTGATTTATTTGGAAACATGTTAACTATATACAGACAATCAATCTAAGTAAATTTAA